TGAAACTTATGTGGAAGCACCCTTGGGTAGTGTAGATATTAAATTGTTAAAATCATGACCCCTGGGGGTAGGGCGGGCCACAATAGGGAATCCAAGTTTTACATAGAAATATATAGAACAAATCTTTAAAAATCTTCTTCTTAGAAACCACTGGGCCAGGGAAGCTGAAACTTATGTGGGAGCATCCTTGGGTAGTGTAGATATTGAATTAAAAAAAATACTGACCCCCGTGGGAAGGGTGGGGCCACAATGGGGAATTTTTACATAGAGATATAAATAGGACAAATCTTTAAAACTCTTCTTCTCAAGAACCACTGGGCCAGGAAAGCTGAAGTTTATATGGAAGCATCCTTTGGTAGTGTAGATATTAAATTGTAAAAATCATAACCCCTGGGGGTGGGCGGGGCCACAATAGGGAATTCCAAGTTTTACATAGAAAAATATAGAACAAATCTTTAAAAATCTTCTTCTCAAGAACCACTGGGCCAGGAAAGCTGAAACTTATGTGGAAGCATCCTTGGTAGTGAGATTCTAAAGTTTTAAAATAAAAAAGGGAAGGGGGTTGTTGGGCATGATAGGTATAGCAAGAGGGGGAATCTGGTAAAGATCTGCATCACCCAAGTGACTCAGGTGAGCGATGTGGCCCATGGGCCTCTTGTTATTTTTTTAACAGGTTCATTAATTCGATTTTCTCTGCCCCTTTCCTTTTCGAAAATGATCCTACATTTCTGAGTTTTGAACTGTTTGGTACTCGCAAGTACTTATATTTCCTACTGTTGAATTTCAGTTAGGCCTAAACTGATTTTGACATGTGCACAGATTTGGTACTCTATTTCAAATATTATCTTCCGTAAACACATTCATCTACAGGGTAGTTGTTTTCAGGAAATAACTCATTCAACAGAGAAAAAACCCGATGGACTAATGACGTGTCTTTAACATACGAGTACTTAGCTCTTCCTTGTTGTCGAACTTGAGCTCAGTGCGTATTTTTAACACTAGTATTGTAAACATGTACTAGAAATGAGTCATTGACTACTATTGCTGAATAGCCAGACAAAACATCTTTAAATACATGTATCTTTAAAAACATTAAATATCTATAATAATCTCCTGAAGCTGTGATATGTTAAAGAAATATGAATGCATCCTCAGTTAGTGTAGATTCAGGTTTGTTCAAATCCCCCCCCCCTTCCCCTTTTAGGTTGATACCATTTATAAAATAAAAACGCATAACTCCAAGCCAAATGCTCGTGTGAGCGAGTGGCACTGGGGCTCTTGTTAATGATTCCTTTACACAGATGGTGTGTATGTAAGACTTATAAAAAAGAAATAAAAGGAGCTTTATGGGTATTTAAGGAAGCACTGTTTAGTTTGTTGGGTTTGCCAGGGCACCAACGATAGTTTGAAACGTGGCATAATGGCAAAGCCTATTATGCGTAAATTATCCCACGTTTCCAACTATTGTTGATGTCCCCGAAATACCCAACAAACTAGACAGTGATTCCTTATATTTACTATTCATTGTGAAATAAAATGAAATTTAGATGAAACAAGATGTTTTTGTGAAACACTATGCGCCCGGCGGCAACAAAGTTAAAAAAAACCCCGTATTTTTAGCATATAGGTCACAGTCAAGGTCACAAGGTCATAGATCTTGATGTCATTTGAAAGAACATGATTAATGAAGTATGCATACCAAATATGAAGTCTCTATCTCTCATGGTTCAAAAGTTATGGTGAAGGTTCAAAAAAGCTATTTTTAGCATGTAGGACACAGTCAAGGTCACAAGGTCATTTGCGTTGGTGTGTTGTGAAAGGGCTTAATTAGTGGAGCAGGCATGCCAAATATTAAGTCACTACCTTTCTTCGTTCAAAAGTTATGACGAAGGTTAAAATTTGCCGACAAAAAGCTATATTTAGCGTATAGGTCACAGTCAAGGTCACAAGGTCATTGACCTTGGTGTCATTTAAAAGAGCTTAATCAGTGGTGTATGCATACCAAATATGAAGTCTCTATCATTTATGGTTCAAAAGTTATGGCGAAGGTGAAAGTTTGCAGAAAAAACTATTTATACCACCCGCAAACGAAGTTTGGGGGGGGGGGGTTATATAGGAATCACCTTGTCCGTCCGTCCGACCGACCGTCCGTCCGCCCGTAATTTAGACGCTAATGGACGAGTTTACCATGTTAAATCCCCGTAGACTTTGAATTTGCCGCCGTGTGTTTACACTGGTTGACCTCGAGGGTTTGGATAAATGCAGGAAGTTTGGAAAGAAATCAATCTACCAATCGGACATAGGTTGAAGTCCAAGGTATTTATTTATTTATTTTGAGATATTTTGCAAAAAATAGTGACGTTCCGGTCGTGGGACAGACTATAGCTGTCTGTCTGTGCAAACGTGTCTGGTCCATATCTTTCTTACGGAGGAACATTAGAATCTACTACTCCACACAAGATTGCCCATGACCTAAGGGTATTTCATGACCTTGACCCAAGGTCATTCGAGGAAGTTCAAGGTCACTGGAAGAAAAAATTCATAATTCGTGTCCGGTCCATATCTTTCTTATGGATAAACTTGGTAGATTCTAATTTCACACAAAGATTGCTCATAACCTAAGGGTGTGTCATGACCTTGAACCAAGGTCATTTGGGGGAGTTCAAAGTCACTGGAAGAAAAATTTCATAATTTCTGTCCGGTCCATATCTCTCTTATGGATAAACTTGATAGGTTCTTATTTAACACAAAGATTCCTCCTGACCTAAGGATATGTCATGACCTTGGGTCAAGGTCATTTGGGGAAGTTCAAGGTCACTGGAAGAAAAATGTCATAATTCGTGTCAGGTCCATATCTTTCTTATGGATAAAATTGGTAAGTTCTCATTTCACAGATAGATTGGTCACTAGCTAGGGATGTGTCAGGACTTTGGGTCAAGGTCATTTGGGTAAGTTTAAGGTCACTGGAAGAAAAATTTTATAATTTGTGTCCGGTCCATATCTTTATTATGGAAAAACTTGAATCTACTACTTCACACAAACATTGCTTATGACCTTGAGGTTGTGTCATGACACAAACATTGCTTATGTCCTTGAGGTTGTGTCATGACTTTGAACCAAGGAAATTTATGCAAGTTCAAGGTCACTGACAGAAAAAGTTCATAATTCGTGTCTGGTCCGTATATTTAGTCTAATTTTTTTTTATTAGGCTGCGCCTTCGTTTCATTTATAAAAATATAATGAGCAATTACATTTGCACTAAAAATGTTTGTTAGCATTTCTCTCTTTCTTCTTAGATCCATAAAATATTTCATGATTTAGCACTTCTGAAAAACCCAGTGGGGGGCATTTTGTCCCGTTTGGACATTTCTGGGTTTAGCATATAGGTCACAGTCAAGGTCACAAGGTCATTGACCTGGGTGTCATTTGAAAGAGCTTAATTAGTGGAGTATGCATACAAAATATGAAGTCTCTTTTATTCATGGTTCAAAAGTTATGGCAAAGGTTAAAGTTTGCAGACAAACAGATAAAAAGACAAACAGACAGAGAGACAGGACAAAAATTGTGAATATTACGGCCCCAGGGTCTTTCTGGTGTTAGGATGGGGCTAAAAATGTTATATATAGTTTTAAATTACATGATTTCTTTAAAATTTAATAGTCTCCTCCTACTTGTCCAAAAATCAGAAATCAGGATGTGATTTCAATTCATAAAGTAGATTGAACTTTGTATTTGAGATAGAAGTAGATGAGGGGACGTGACGGAAGTTGTTGAGGAATATATCAGTATATAAAGTGGTGATCTCTATCTCCTAACCTTCATAGAACAGGAGGGCTAAAACATGCCAACTTCCAAAATGTTCGCGATCGCTTTACCTTTCCTTGTTTCTATTGTCTCTTCTGCTGAACTGACGACCCTCCTGAAAGGTAAACTAATATGACCAGTATAGAAGAGCGCTTGACCAATCTGGAAACCTCGATAGAACGTCGTCTGCTGGCTACAGAGCGCGTGCTGGGACAGCTACTGACTTTGAAAATCTTCTTCTCTGCTCCTAGAAATTAAATTAACAATCTAAATGTTCTCTCAAAATTATGATTTTATGGACACTTTTTTCTAGGTGGTAGAAAAAACTATTTATTTCTTAAAAACAGTTCGCTCTGCAGTGAGTGACCGTCATAGAGTTCCACAGGCAATGCTATTTCGAAAGTTTCATGTTTGCTAAAAAAGGAGGGTATTATATTATAAAAGATTTACAATGCTGATAGGTTATTAAACATTTAGTATTTTTTGATAGGCAATTTTAAGCCTTTTTAGATTTGGGTTGGACCCCATATCCAAAGATATTCGACTTTTAGATTTAATATGTTTAAGAGTGTTTAATAACTTTTATGAAAATAAAACTGCACTGTCTAGTTATAGAACTTGTGTAAATTTGTGAATGCCATATAGCATTACTGGCTTAAAACATGTCAAATTCAATAATAAACAGTACACATACCTATGTCCCCAAGTCCAGTTAGCCTTGGTCTACACACTTAATGCGATGGAGTTGTCAAAAATGTTTTAGACTCTCTTCGCTTAACAGAGAATATTACGATGGCAGAAAACTTTTTTTTTTAATTAGATATAGGTCACAGTCAATACAAATTCTGATTAATAAAAATTAAACGATTGTCAGTTTAAAATCCCCGGCCAGTTCTTTTTTGTTACACATTTTACAAAGGTACTCTCCCAATGTGTAATTTGTTTACACACGAGAGACAGGAATCTATACGCTCAGGATCTTCCCATAAAATTTAATAGTCCGTCATTTAATATCAGGATGTGACACACATAGAATGACTTTTTTTCTTGAGAGGAAACTATATGATGATTAACGAACAATTAACATGATTTTACTACAGTTGTTGATATAGTATAATCAATTCCATAGAACAGGATGAAAAAATGTCAAAATGTTCCGAAGCTTTACCTTTCCTTGTTTCTTTGTCTATTCAAACATGTTAAAGGCCGAATATGAAGCTGAGGAGGGACCGCTTGACCAATCTGGAAACCAGCGTAGGAATATTAACATTTTTTATTTGCATTTAGGCGCGGAAAGTGATCTTTGGAGGAAAAATTTACATTAATTTTAAATGTTCTTCGCTTAGATCTGGTACACAACATTATTCTTATCATTTATTTCAAAAACAGTTGTATCTGCTTATTAATGATGGAACTATTTTCATCGGAACAATTTGTGTGAAAGTTTCATGTTTGCTAAAAAAGGAGGATATTATAAAAGATTTACAATGCTGATAGGTTATTACTAGTATTTAAAAATGACGACCTTGTTTTCTTTCTTTAGGTATCCTGAACAGCCAGTTGACGCCTGTGTTATTTTCTGCATATAAGTCTTTTGGCGAAGGCAGCATTAGTACCAAAGTCACCATCCGATTCGACAAGACTTATATTAACCTTGGGGACCACTACCACACAGAGGACGGGATCTTCATTGCACCAGAGACAGGTGTGTACTTGTTCCACTGGACCATTGCCACTGCTGGTAGTCCCTTCTCCACTCAGCACTCCTCGTGCTTCCAATCTTATTCCTCACCCGGGTGGATCAGATTCCGCCTCAGCGATGGTTATTGTCAACGTCACAAAAGAGGACCATGTTTGGATACAGCTATATGGTGGTTCAGAGCATGTGTATGGGGGCACCAACTCAATCGGAAATTCTTATCAATCTACATTTACTGGAATCCTTTTACGCAAATCTTAGGGCTTGTTTGCTATTTTTGGTTTATGTTTTTTTTGTTTTGTTTTTTTATTTTCACATACCACGCACTTACTTAGATTACTAATACTTTAATAGTATTACTGCAATGTATGACATTGTACAGATATTGGAAACTGTACCAAATGCAAAAGATTCTTTATACTCATTCATGATTGATTTGGAATGTTTTTCTTTCGTTAATATGTCTGCACGTAACTGTCAATAAAGAATTAAAATCACACAAGTTCTTATATTTTCAACATAACAAGATTTTGTAAGGTTATTAACAGCAAAGAAATGCGTATGCTTCTTAAAGATACAGACACAGTATAATGAGAAAGCATCAGTTATAGTCATTTGTTTTACTCATGTTTTAATGAGTTTTATTAAAATTGTTTTCAAACAATTTTCATTTCACTTTCCCTTTTGCTACGGAGTTGCATGTAAAGAATTTAGAATATAGTATCAGTAGCTGGACCGTGCGTAATACTTGTGTCCGAGTTGAAATGCCTTGTTAGTTAAATGTCCGAGGAAAAAAAAGTTTGGTCTATCAAAATAATCTTTACTGGTATTGTTTTATTTTCATTCTGTCACTTTAAAAAATGGAATTGAAAGCTGCTGTGAAATGTAGTTATACGAATAGGTTTTTTTTTCTTCTGAAATTAGGACTTGCGAGGCTCTTAACCACATGTTCAGTTTTCAAACAAATGTTCAGAGACCATTTACTTCCTTATCCGTCTACTACTTGAAGCAAATAAAGCATATTGGTCATCCTAAGCATCCTTTCTTTGATGACGTCGTGACCGACAAGCCTCTACCAGGTACTTTGTTCATGTACCACTTAGCATTTGGTATTTTAAAAAAGAATCTTAAAATTCTTGATATTGTGACCGTTGTTGTGTACTCAGTAGAACTTTTCCCGGTGGAAGTAGAACGCATCCAACAGCCTGGGACACTGTTCTGTTAAAGACCACGAGATCTGATCGTCGTAGAGTTGTGGCAATGCACTTTGAAAAAATTAAGCACTTTTGAAATTTTTTTTCAGAGTGCGTAATTTTTCAAAGTGTGTTGTAACATAGCGTAGATTTGTGCGGATATTAGAAAAAGTATAGTCCTGATGAAAAAAAGATAGTGATAATTAATGCTTGGGGTGACACAGTGAAAACTGCCTATTACGACATCATCTTCACAATTTCAAGGTTTTGTGATATCGTTCCTAACACTCAAGAAAAGTAGCTGTTTAACAAAGTCCGAATGACACGATAGACAAGATTAAGAATATCCATTCCTCAGCAAAGAAGGACAACTTTTAAAATTATTACATGCATATAACTTTGAAAAAAGTATCAAAACTAAGCTTGAAATTGAAATTAATCGTAAGATTTTTTAAGTCTTAGAATGCACGTTCTTGTAAAAATTTGTATGGTACGCCAAATTCACAACAAGAGGCCCAGGGGCTACAGCGCTCACCTGAGCACATCAGGCTTGAATTTACTCCACCCCCCCCCCTCCTCCAGGCGTTCATCATTTGAACAAACTAGAATCTACACTACCTGAGGATGATTCCATATAAATATCACTAATCATAGCTTTGAAGTACTTGAAAAGAAGATTTAAAAGGTTTCCCTATATATCCCTATGTAAAACTTGCACCATTTTGCCAAAATCACAAAAAACTTGAATCTAAATACCTGAGGATGATTCCACATGAGTTTCATCTTTCCTGGCCCAGTGGTTCTGGAGAAGAAGATTTTTAAAGATTTTTCCTATATATTCAGTAAAACTTGCGGCCATTTTGGCCCCACCTTTAAACCTGGGGTCATGATTTGAACAAACTTGAATCTACACTACCTATATTTTACATTTGTAATCTTTCCTGGCCCAGTGGTTAAAGATGATTTTTAAAGATAAAATATTTCACAACCGTAATGATTTGAACAAGCTTGAATCTACACTAACTGAAGATGATTCCACATAAGTTTCGTCTTTCCTGGCCCAAAGGTTCTTGAGAAGTAGATTTTTAAAGTTTTTTCCTATATATTCCTATGTAAAACTTTGGTCAGCCATTTATGCCCCATCCAAGCCCTAGGGGTCATGATTTAAATAAACTTGAATCTACACTACCTGAGGATGATTCCACATGAGTCTCATCTTACCTGTTCCTATAGATCTTATGAAGAAGATTTTTAAAGATTATTCCTTTACATTCCTTTGTAAAACTTGTGAATTGCTATGTTTGATTAAACTTGAAAATACCTATTGTTAACATGATTTTATGGTACTGGAGAAGAAGATTTTTAAAGATTATTCCTTTACATTCCTTTGTAAAAGTTTGATTGGCCATTTTGGCCCCACCCTACCCTCGGGGGTCATGATTTGAATAAACTTGAACTACACTACGTTAAATGATTTCATCTTTTGCCCAATGGTACTGGAGAAGAAGATTTTTAAAGATTTTTCCTATGTATTCCTATGTAAAACTTGAATTGTAATTTTGGCCCCACCCTTGCCCCGGGGGTATGATTCAACAAACTTGAATCTAACTAATGCTTCCACATGAGTTTCATCTTTCCTGGCCCAGCGGTTCTGGAGAAGAAGATTTTTTTAAAATGCCATTAATTTTTAACAAATTCATGATTATCTCCCCTTGGAAAAGGGCGTGGCCCTTCATTTGAACAAACTTGAATCCCCTTCACCCAAGGATACTTTGTGCCAAGTTTGGTTGAAATTGGCCCAGTGGTTCTTGAGAAGAAGATGAAAATATGAATAGTTTATATACGGCAACAACAACGACAACGAAATTCACAAATTTTGATCAGAAAAGCTCACTTGAGCCTTCGGCTCATAATCAAACACAGTTTCACAGTCGATAAACTACAGGTAGGTTTATCGGTTGTAAACTATAGTTTACACACTGTAAACTATAGTTAACAACGTTAATCTACATTTCAAAATCACAAAAATGTAAACCATAGTTAACTGTCGATAATCTATGTTTCACAAGTTTGCCGTAAACTATACTTAACAGCGAAAACAATCATTTGCATTTGCAAAACATAGATTATCGCGATAATCTATATTTCACAACCGTAAACTATACTTTACATCGAAAACAATCATTTGCGAAAAACATAGTTAACCATCTGATAAATATAGTTTCACAGTTTGTAAACTATGATTAACCACTCTTAACTATAGTTTACGATTGTAAATTATAATTTACACACGTGAATCTATGTTTATCAACAAAATCTATTGTTAACGTTTTATTACAGACAGATAAACTTAGATTAGCATTCGTAAACTATAGTTAACAACCTTTAAATATAGTTTTACAGATGAAAACTATATTTAACGAATTGTAAACTATAGTTCAAGGTTTGTAAACTATAGTTTACAGTCGATAAACCTAGTTTATCAATTGTGAAACTAGGTTTAGCTCATTTTTGTGAATTTGGCGTGCCATATTTATCTATATATGGCACGCCAAATTCACAAAAATGAGATAATCATAGTTTCACATTCGATAAACCAGGTTTGTCGGTTGTAAACTATAGTTTACAAACCGTAAACTATCGTTTACAAACCGTAAACTATAGTTAACAACGTTAATCTATATTTCACATCTGTAAACCATAATTAACGCGATAATCTATGTTTCACAACCGTAAACTATACTTAAAACCGAAAACAATCATTTGCAATTGCAAAACATAGATTATCTGATAAATACAGTTTCACGATTTGTAAACTATAGTTTACAAACCGTTAACTATAGTTAACCATCTGATAAATATAGTTTCACAGTTTGTGAAACTATGATTAACAACTCTTAACTATAGTTTACAATTGTAAACTATAGTTTACAAACGTGAATCTATGTTTATCAACAAAATCTATTGTTAACGCTTTATTACCGACAGATATGGCACGCCAAATTCACAAAAATGAGCAAAACATAGTTTCACAATCGATAAACTAGGTTTATCGGTTGTAAACTATAGTTTATGGACTGTAAACTATAGTTAATGACGTTAATCTATATTTTACATCTGTAAACTATAGTTAACGCGATAATCTATGTTTCACAACCGTAGACTATACTTAACACCGAAAACTATCATTTGCGATTGCAAAAACATAGATTATCTGATAAATACAGTTTCACGATTTGTAAACTATAGTTTACAAACCGTTAACTATAGTTAATGATCTGATAAATATAGTTTCACAATTTGTGAAACTATGATTAACAACTGTTAACTATAGTTTACGATTGTAAACTATAGTTAACAAACGTGAATCTATGTTTATCAACAAAATCTATTGTTAACACTTTATTACAGACAGATAAACTTAAATTAACATTCGTAAATTATAGTTAACAACCGTTAAATATAGTTTTACAGATGAAAAATTAACGAATTTAACTATAGTTTACCGTTTGTAAACTATAGTTTACAGTCGATAAACCTAGTTTATCAATTGTGAAACTATGATTATCTCATTTTTGTGAATTTGGCGTGCCATAGACAGATAAACTTAAATTAACATTCGTAAACTATAGTTAACAACCGTTAAATATAGTTTTACAGATGAAAACTATACTTAACGAATCGTTAACTATAGTTTACGGTTTGTAAACTATAGTTTACAGTTGATAAACCTAGTTTATCAATTGTGAAACTATGATTATCTCATTTTTGTGAATTTGGCTTGCCATACATATCTATACTTAGTATTTTACATCTGTAAACCATAGTTAACGCGATAAACTATGTTTCAGAACCATAAACTATACTTAACACTGAAAACAATCATTTGCGATTGCAAAACATAGATTATCTGATAAATTAATTTAGTTTACAGAACCTGAATCTATGTTTATCAGCAAAATCTATTGTTAACGTTTTATTACAGACAGATAAACTTATATGTAGTTTACGAATGCTAATCTAAGTTTATCTGTCTGTAATAAAGCGTTAACAATAGATTTTGTTGATAAACATAGATTCACGTTTGTAAACTATAATTTACAATCGTAAACTATAGTTAAGAGTTGTTAATCATAGTTTCACAAATCGTGAAACTATATTTATCAGATCGTTAACTACGGTTTGTAAACTATAGTTTACAAATCTGAAACTGTATTATCATATAGTTTTGCAATCAAATGATGAAACAGATGTAAAATATAGATTAACGTTGTTAACTATAGTTTACAGTCCGTAAACTATAGTTTACAACCGATAAACCTAGTTTATCGACTGTGAAACTATGTTTATCTCATTTTTGTGAATTTGGCGTGCCATAGTTCACGGTTTGTAAACTATAGTTTACAGTCGATAAACCTAGTTTATCAACCGTGAAACTATGTTTAGCTCATTTTTGTGAATTTAAAAAAAATCAATCTCCATTCATCTATCCTTAGATACAATATACCGGGCATGATATGAATTAAGATGTGATCTATAATGTCTTACATTGATTTTACAAACATTTCTACACTACGTACTTTATAAGAATTGAACAAAATAGAACTAAACTACTGAATAAGTATTAAAAAATCCATTTTTCTCCAAATGCCTGAATATATATATTTTTTATTGTGAATATATTTGGTGATCTTTATTAGAAAATGCATAGCAGGTACTCTTTGATTTAGTTTTAATATGGTTAATCGTTTCGTCGTGTAACCAACAAGCCACTCTTAATATAAAACGATACTTTCACGTATGTAAGAAATGTTTTATCTTTTTGACACTCCAAGTGCAGAGATGAGATTTTGTGAATTTCTTTTAATATTAAACTGCATAATGATTTATCTCGGCTTAAAAAGAAAGATTATTCTCTTAAAATGGCATGAATTCCCTTCGACTATAATATGATAAAATTGGTCTGATGATTGAAAATGTGAACTGTTTAGTTAAGCATTTATTTCTTTTGTGCTATGCAAAATACCAATTAAAGTGATTCTCAACTTGAATAAGTCACTCGAGTGAGACACAAAAATCAAAGGATTAACAATACAATGAAAAGGCATCCGCTGAAAATATAAATTATTTGCACAAGGGATGACATACCAATGCTCATAGAGCTTACTAAAGGCATTTTTCCTATATATATATACGAGTACCATAAGAATGACCTCGTCCTCCTTTATTATTATGTTTTTTTTTTTAATGTTTCGCAAACTTGTTGACATATCCTTTTCAATGTTATCGTGTTTAAGTCTGGGTTTTATCGCCCCAGTGTTTGTATGGAGGTTGATTGACTTGGGTTATTTGTGCCTTACACCTTTAGTTATGCATTGTTTTAATAATTTATGGATTTTCAGTAATTTCTTTGCGGGAGAACCTTCGTCGCTTGATACAAAAGAAATTACATTACGGAACCGTTATTTCCATTCCTTGCTTTCTTTTGAAGAATTAAAACCCCCTTTCATGTGGGATCCATAGTTTATATCTATTGATTTTTTTAAACTGTGCAGTAAATGCAAATATTTTATTCATATCCTCAGTGTATACTGCATGAGGTTTCCAGACACTATGGTTCTATTTTCTAGGCCTGAGAATTCTGCAGACTATGGCCATCTGTTCGTACTCTATATATTTAAATCCAAAATCCTAACACTTTTGGCCAACACTAGCATTCTTTTCTTCGCCTGACAAGATAACAATAACTATCTGGATTATGATTTTTTTGGTCCTCCAAAATTTTTGACATTTATTAATTCTAGCGATGACATGCTTACGTCATTAAATCACGTGGTTACATTCATTGGTCGGCAATAATAAATGGCATTGGATATTTCATTGCATCACATTAGTTCCCCTGGAGTAAACCTGTCTGTGTATTTAACCTGACGGGCAGTAATACAAGGTGATTTTAAACGGATATAAGAGATTTTTGACATTATCAATAGCCTCCCTTCAGTTGATCTTAATTCCGTATTCGGCTTTGTTAGACCATTCCAGATTATTGTTCATTATATCGGATAGGTACAAGATTAAAGTTTTTTATGCATTACGAGTATTTGAACGCGTACCAAGAAATGCTTTATTAATGATTCGATGAACCCTGCCGGTTAGGATTAACAATTTAATAGTACTAGTCTCATTTGGTGAAAGTTTTCAAAGCGTCATCGTCACCTAGTAGCAAGTGGTCCAATATTATCTTGGATTAATTCTTTCGTGTTTACAAAGACTTGGATTGAAAAATAAGAAACTGTTTCAACAAGTTCTTTCAAAAAAGGGAAATTGTTACATAAGAGTAGCATTCCTGACTATTCGAACTTTCAATATAAAACAGAAAAGGACAGTATGCCTGCACTGACGTCGCCGTGGTTTTATCAGAGAAACCCTCAGCTTCCCCCTCAATTAGCCTCCGCCGCCCAGACGCGGTCCCCCAGCAGTATGACGGAAGAGGAGGTGGATCAAATCACCAAGCGGGTGGGACGTCCTACCCAAGCCTCCCGAGCCAAAACTAGCCAATCGTGGAAACTCGATAACACTTTTATGGACAATGGACGACACTCGTGGTCAAAAATGGAATTATATGCAGACTGCAAGAAGTGCATGTGGAAGGACAATGGGGTTGTGAAAGCTACATGTAAAATCCGCCCCGTTCAACCAACACCCCGTTAACGTGCGCTTACTTTCTGTTTTGTCAAGACTTCGGATACAAACGTTCTAGTCCAACACTTCTGTCAGGACGAGTTGGTTTATATAGGTCTCTGATTTCTAGCTTTGGACATCAAGATAAATCATACTTTTCAAGGAATCACAATGTTACAGTGTGTGGTTGGTGCTTAAGCTTGGTAAACATTGATCCGCTCTGTCTCGGCGCAGTGACATACACCAGTTCAGTATTACATGTAGTTCAGTATTAATATTGTTTTTGCCAGTTGTGTAATCATCTTTGTTTGTACTTTTAACCTTCAACTGTTATAACGTTTGAATTCCATCAGTTACAAAGGAATTGACATCGTTAATGCAACGATAGTTGAAAAATGATTTTTTTTTTTTTTAAAAGGCCTTTTTAATTTGTTTATGCTATAGTATTAGTTTTTTCTTTCTTTCTGATCACATACGTTGCTGAAAATGATGAACTGAGAAAAATTTTTTTGTTGTCATTCAAATTAGCATTCCAGTTTTGTACTTGTTTTATTTTATACAATGTCTATTGAAAACTTGCATTATTAATTTATTCTCATTGTTTCATATTTTTATTTTTTAACCATAGTAAACAGAAAAAATCCTTGTATCTTTTTTTCTTTTGTATGGAAGGTTATTCTCAAAAACAGGGCTATACACATAAATATTTCCACAAAACTTAAAACCCATGGGTACTTGTGTCCATTCTGTTTGTGGAAATAGAATGGACAGGGAAGAAATCGCGTCTTGCGGCAATGGAATATCCTCTGCAACTTTTGTAATATTGTTTATGTCTTAATTAAGACAATTTCTTGTAACAAAAGATAGTACTTTTCTTCAAACAAAATAGGGGGAAATAATAAGGAAAATATTGGTTTTGAATATTTTTAAAGGAAATCGAAAATACGTGTATGTCGAAATTAGAGTTATCTCTCTTTGCAGGATGTTAAACCTCCTTTAAATGTAGATTTCACGGAGCAAATGTTCTACAATGAAATATCAGTTGGACCACTGTTTATATCTGCCTTTAGGCCCTTCACATGTCCGTAAGATACTGCACGCTTATAATATTGGGTAGCTGCATTAAATTTATTGCGCACGAATACTATACGAGGACTGTCTGTTCGTAAATTATTGAGACAATTTATTCCACAAAGGACCGAGATAAATTCATGAAAATTCGTCAACATTTCACGAAGAAAGAATAAAGCAGTTTAAACGAGCAAATTTCCTAATTTATAGGATAAATAGAGTTCCGATGAAATAATTAAAAAAAAAATACTCATATATCGACCTGGAGCAGCATCGCTACGTCACTTTAGCTTGTAAAGTTTTGGTTGCGATAACTATATATTACTGAAATCCTTTCCGATTTACTCAAAAGATCTCTGCTTTACAAGTACAGTTTACCTCTGTTGGTGTTTTCTTTTTAAATCTTTTTACTAAATTGTCAACATGCGTTTGCATTGCCAGATAGGACAAACCAACATTAAATTTGTTAAGTATTTTAATATTCTGTAAATCTACTCAAAGGAACGGAATGAATATAAACGTAGTGCACTTTTTATTTTTCAAATGACTAGTTTCTAACTGGGTACAGGCGATGGTAGCTCATTTCCTTTCAAGCCTGCTATAAGATTTCTTGCTGCTAGCTCCGCCATTGCATTCCTAGCGTACATAGTAGCACTACCAATGTGGGGTGTAATCACACAGTTTTTGAGGGAGTGCAGCGGATTATCACGGGGTAGGGGTTCCGGGCTTGTTACATCCAACCCTGCCGCCAAAATGGTTCCTGACTTTAATGCGTCATACAGATCTTCCTGATTTACCAGCACCCCGCGACTCGTATTGATAAAAATGGCACTTTTCTTCATCTTACGAAACGCTGTTTTGTTGAACAATCCAGCATTGTCCTTGTTCATAGAGCAGCAGGCTACAACGAAGTCAGATTCTTGCAGCAGGCGATCCAAGCTCACAAATTCAGCCTGGACTTCCGCGTCATATTCCTTCTTTGTATTCCCACTGTACAGAAATTTCTTGACGCCAAATGGCTGCAATCGCTTAGCAACAGCCAATCCGATTCTCCCTAATCCGACAATCCCAACTGTGGATTCAAACAAAGTTTTCCCGCACAAATACAAACCGTCTTCCCAGGAACCCCAACCACCATCAACAACGGCAGAAAACGCTGAAAAAATATACCAAAAATCAAATATGTACTAGTCTTACATATTTATTTGTTAGGTATAGATGTATAATAAATTTCAATTCGTCAATGTTTTATATTATACGTATATTTTGTACTAGCATAATAAACCCACCCTCTTTGAGTCGCCGTGAGGTGGCCAGAAGTAGGGCGAGTGTCGTTTCTGCCGTTGCGTCTGTCAGTACACCGGGCGTGTACCCCACACTTATACCCCGGGTCTTACATTCCACCAGATCTATATGCTCCAGACCAACGGACATGGTACTCACACTTTTTAAAGTTGGTCCTGTAAGTTCAAGGAAAAAGATATTGTAAGAATCAATATACACAGTATCAGTATAATTTTTTTTTCACATATCTTGAAATACTCGTATGCAATTGTTTTAATGAGAAACAAGAGGCCCATGGGCCACATCGCTCACCTGAGCACTAAGGGTAGGAAAAAGTAGAAAATGGCGTTTTATTGTAAAGTTTAAATCCAAAAGTAGTCCCATGACCAATCATGGATTTGCTATTTTTTAGAAAATGTTTTTTAAAGAATTTTCCTATATATATCTTTAAAAACTTTGGTCGGCCATTTTGGCCCCGCCCTACCCCTGGGGGTCATGATTTGAACAAATTTGAATTTACACAACTTGAGCATGCTTCCATATAAATATGATGAATTATGGCTTTGTCATTCTTGAGAAGAAGATGTGTAAAGAATTTTCCTATATATTTCTATGTAAAACTTTGGTCGGCCATTTTGGCCCCGCCCTACCCCCGGGGGTCATGATTTGAACAAACTTGAATCTACACTGCCTGAACATGCTTCCATATAAATATGATGAATTATGGCTTTGTCATTCTTGAGAAGAAGATTTTTAAAGAATTTTCCTATATATTTTTATGTAAAACTTTGGTGGGCCATTTTCGCCCCGCCCTACCCCCGGGGGACATGATTTGAACAAACTTGAATCTACACTACCTGAGCATGCTCCCATATAAATATGATGAATTATGGCTTTGTCATTCTTGAGAAGAAGATTTTTAAAGAATTTTCCTATATATTTCTATGTAAAACTTTGGTCGGCCATTTTGAACCCGCCCTACCCCCGGGGGTCATGATTTGAACAAACTTGAATCTACACTACCTGAGCATGCTTCCATATATATATATATATGATGAATTATGGCTTTGTCATTCATGAGAAGAAGATTTTTACAGAATTTTCCTATATATTTCTATGTAAAACTTTAGTCGGCCATTTTGGCCCCGCCCTACCCCCGGGGGTCATGATTTGAACAAACTTGAATCTACACTACCTGAGGATGTTTCCCCATAAGTTTCATCCTTCCTGGCACAGTGGTTCTTGAGAAGAAGATTTTTAAAATATGCCACCAAATTTTCATTAGTTCCCAATTATCTCCCCTTGAATGAGGGCGTGGCCCTTCATTTGAACAAACTTGAATCCCCTTCACCCAAGGATACTTTGTGGCAAGTTTGGTTGAAATTGGCCCAGCGGCTCTTAAGAAGAAGTCGAAAATGTGAAAAGTTTACAGACAGACGGACAGACAGACGGACGGACGGACAGACGGACGCCGGACAAAATGCGATCAGAAAAGCTCACTTGAGCCTTCGGCTCAGGTGAGCTAAAAAGA